ATATCAACTAATTAAAAGTTAAATAGGAATACATTACATTTAGAAACATATATTTATTCAAGTCTACCCTGCAAAATTTCTACATTCAAATCCAGCTGATGTTTTTCATTTGTTAAGCTTTCTATCTGTGTTCCAAAAAAAAAAAAAAAAACACAAAAACGATAAATAATACTTGATAAAATACGACATTTAAAATAATTAAAAAAATATATATTCTAAAACAATTCTGATACCTTCTTTCTTGAGTTAAAGTACACGCGTTTTGAATTTTGCATAACAAAGACACACATTCTTATGAGGCGAATATTTTGTTTCTTGACTTTGTAAAAGTTTTGTTAAGTAATCAAGTTTGTCTTCCAACTTCTTCTTTTCAGAAACTGGTACATCATTTGCTGCTTCCTCAAATACAGCAGCTCCATCATCTCTCTCACTTTTAGTAAACACAACTGAATCAATCAAATGATCAATTTCCTGTTGCCGACTATCTAAAAACGAACCCTCAAGCCTTATAGAATGTCTAACATTAGCATTAATGCCTCTCTTCTGTTTCCTTTTTGAAGAAACATCTAGGTGTGTTTGTTTTATTATTCCTATCCTATCTTATTCAAAATACATATTTTTTCACTATTCACAAAATCCAATCTTATTCTATTTAACTCAAAATATTTACTTTTTTTAACCCTTAGGTTTGTTAATTTAACTAAACATCCCAATATTAAAAGTTTATAAATTGACAAAAACACTCCCACCCACCCATATATTTCCAGCAGTCGGCTGTCGGCATTTAATGGGTGGAGGTGTTTTTGTTAATTTTAAAACTTTTATTGTAGGAGGTGTTTAACTAAATTAATAAATATAGAGGATTAAAAAATAATCTTACCAAATACATTTTCAAATTCAAATCCTATCCTCGTAATGATAACCCAACTCAACTTTTTCAAAAATACTACTCAAAATAATAAAACAAACACACCCACGTCATTCACATACTGTTTTCATTTTTCAAGGCTATCAAGATTAAGGCTTTATTATAAACGCAAAAGAAAAAAATAAAAATAAAAACAAATAACTAAAATATATCAACAACTAACTATAACAAAATAAAGATTTACAACCAAAAATAAATAAACCTCTTCCAACAATCAAACTTCCCTTTATTTGGTTAGAATAGAACTTTTACTGTTATATCATTATTCAATTAACTAAAAGCCTTTTAAATAGGCAACACATCAACAAAAATAAACTGAAAAATAACAACAACTTTTAACCACTAACTCGTACTCTACAACGCTACTAAAATGCCTAAATACTAGATCTAAACTGTCGACTTCTAAGGACCCACATCAAAGACAACTTTGAAAAATTGGTAACAAAATCTCCTTTAAATTGATGTTTTTGTTTAATTTACTCCTATAACAATCAAACTTCACTTAATTTCCTTACAATAGAAAACCCTAACTCACTATTCTATTAATAACAACAACAAATTCGACATGGAAAAACAAAATAATGGTTCCATTATCTAGCATTATGTCAAAATAGACTGTTTAACAAATTAAAAACTTATAATTCATAATAAACCTACTCTCTACAATCTTAACAATCAACAATAGTAACAAAAAAATAAACGAAACAAAACATAACAAAGAAATAGGACAAACACTATAATCATCTTCGAAGTAAATCGCAACAACAGCACCAGATGCCACTAACACAATCTTCAATCTTCAAAGAGAGAAAGAAATTAACAATTCCAGTGAACGAATGCAAAACGAAAAAGGGAAACGTAAAAATTAAAGACCTAAACAAACTAATAAATCGGTTAAATACCTGATATAAAAACCGATTTAACACTTATAAATAAACCGGTTCAAACATGCCAGTTCCCACTTACAAATAATTTACTGAATTACTAAAATATGTTGCTATTATTACTAACAATTGGCATGCCGGTTCACACCTACAAATAATTTACTGAATTACTAAAACATGTTGCTATTATTACTAACAATTGGTTGCACCATTTCCTTATAATTGTAGCCATTGTTGAACAATCATGTTTAATCCTATAATTTTAACCATTGCTTAACAATCCTGTTTAATGTTAACAATCAAGATGCAAAGTCATTAGTTTGTACAACACAATTAGAATAGATTATCTGTCGTACATTTCCCGTTAGCAAATGTAATATTGTAATGCCCTTTTCAATTAATACTATATTAAAAGTTTTTTTTTGTTTTGTTCATGATAATTGATGCAATGAAATTGCCGATCAATATTTTTTTTTGCAAATCTTGAGCACCTTCTTATTGCAAGAATCTCCAGATCAAAACCATCAACTTCAAACCTATCTGGTACAGTAATAGTATATTACGGTAAACTAAGTTTTTCATTCCGTGACTTACTTTTTTCACCAATAACAAAGTCATTAATCTTAATAAATAAATAAATTATCATTGTTGATATAAAAATTCTCACCAACCAGAGAGATCCGATTGACCTCGGTAGAATCGGAACAGATGTGGGCATGATTACAGATAATCAATAATGGGTGAATGATAAATGCAATAAAGTAAAAGATAATAAGATTCTTAAAGTGGTTTGGCGAGGTAACCTCTTATGCCTACGTCCACTATTCTTGTATTTGTTGTGAGAGCTTACAATAAGAGTTCTATGGAAAATTTCTAACCCCTTTTTCATCATTTGAGAGGGTTTATATACAAGGTTTGTACAAAGGAAACAGCGAAAATAAAGGGATTACAATTGATCTAAACTGTAACTTCGATATTCTCACGATTGGGCGTTGTGATTGTACAGAGATTGTTGTTAATCTGGTCATTCTCGTAATATCTGAGATCTGAAGTTATCTGAGAATTGATTGAATGACGTTTGCGATTGGGTCGAGCTATATGTCGACAAGATTATGCTAGGTTGGACAACTGGTAAAGTTGGACTGATTCTAAGTCGATCTAATACCTCGCCAATCACCGAGCTTGATGGAAAAATCATACACAATAATCATAAATGTTGAAAACATAACTTCTATTTATACAATATGATAAAATTAATATTAATTCTTTTGTACATAATATTTCTTTATACCAGCAATAAATATATAATATTTATTTAATATATAATATTTTATTTATTGATTTCTTTAATTATCAATACAATATAAAATGAACTTTAATGCAAAAAATATATATTTAAAACAAAAAAAAAAATAATAATAACAAAAACAAAATATAATAAACATACCCGCGCAACACGCGGGCTTTCCATCTAGTTGAAGTATAAATCTGCAGTTGTGTATGTTGTATTCTATGTACAAGAGAGAACGTATGGTATTATACAGAGAATATCAAAAGTAGAAAGACTAGCAAAGATTATTCCAAAAATCATTTTATTGAAATTAATTATGAGGTCACGGTGACATAAATGTAATTCAAAAATATCATTTGCCCATTTAACCATTTAAGTCCTTTTGAACTTTCAAATTCCTTGGATACATAAATTTTCAAAATATTTCCACCTATAAGTAATTTCACTAATTTTAATTCCCCAAATGTCCAAGGGTTTGTTTCAAAGATAAATTTAAACATAAAATCACATAATCTAGCTTATTTGCCTTTAACGGAAAATTATAGAAACAAAAATAACCAGAATGTGTTAAGTCAAACACTATTTAGTATATTTTAATTAAGCTATCAAACTATATTATTAAATGTTAAACTTCATTTATACTATATCGAGTCTAGCATAGTCTAAGGCCATATTCTAGTAATATGATATTTGTTGTTTCACTAAGGGTACAATTAATAAATCATTAGATTATATGATTGAATTTGTACTTTAAATAAATCTTATACATTTTAAGAAAGTGTAATTATTGAGATAACTACATTTGTCCAAACCTAAATTTTCTCTTCATTTGTGGGTTCGTTGAGTATTAGTGGTTCTGAAAGTTCAAATCCTACATGGCCACAATTCTCAGATTGGCCAACATAATTTAAATATTTTTAACCACCTTTGGGTGGTCAAGTGGTTAGACACAGACTCTTAGATGTATTATTCAAGAGGTCTTAAGTTTGAATTACTTTAGTTCTTAATAAGGATGGCCACTGGAGAGTATATCTGGTCGTTAATTTCAAGGCCCCGAGGTTTAATCGAGGTATGTGCAAACTGACCTGAACACCCCGATTACCAAAAAAACAAAAAATAAAAATTAATATCTATGCATACGTGAAATATTACATTTTTGTATACACCTATTACTTAAAGATAATTACATAAAGAACATTATATCTCTTGGTATTTGCACAAAAAAGGGCTACAAATATACAGTTGTAATAAGCTACCAAATATCTCTGCAGCTGCAATTGCCACCTATGAAGTGGTGAAAATTGCTGGGATCCTTGACAACTATTTCTCTGTCAATGAAAGTTGAGATTAACTTGCAAGCATAGTGGCAATGTCCACACATCCTAACACTCTTCATTACCCTTATAGGCAATCCATGGGGTAATGTAATAAGCCCCAAAGCCACTGCCTTCATCTCACTGTGATGAAGACCTCCACCATCATATTCTTCCTCCTCTATCGTGGGCATTAGCTGTATCCTATTCACTACATATCCAGATTCCTTCATCTTCTCTTCTATTTCTGCTAATTTATCAGAAACCTCCTTACTTGGTTTCTGGTCTGACACAAATTCATAGATTTTATTCCTTATTTCTATCCAACTAGAATTTGTTCTCATGGTTCTGTTTTCAACCTTCATTTTAGATGCATCATCCCACTTACCTAGCATCAAGAAAACCTGTTTAAGAAGTATCTGTGTTGAGCAGTCACTTGGATCTAATTCTACCAGTTTCTCTAAAGCATATTTTGCCACTTTCATATTACCATGTACACGGCAGGACCAAAGAAGAGTTCTCCAAATCAAGGCACCTAATTTGACTGGGATGATCCCATTGATAAAATTCTGCACTTCTTCAAACATTCCAGCTCGACTAAAAGCCTCAACCATGCAGGAATAATGCTCTTGTGATGGTTCAATTACATAAACCTCCTCCATTAATGTGAACAAACGATATGCTTCATCTACCATTCCCATTTGGGCATATGCCTTCAAGGCTGACTTAAATGTGCTTGGGTCCATGGAATTATTCTTTCGTTGCATATCTTTAAACAAATACAGAGCTTCTGATGGCTGACCATGACTCACTCTAGCAGAGATGATAGATCTGTACGAGAGAGGGTTTTTCTCAGGCATGGATTTGAATGCCAAATCTGCATCGTCAATTATACCACATCCTGAATACATGTTAATTAAACAATTGCGGGTTGTAGGGTGTGAGATGACACCCCTCTTGGTCATGTAGGCTTGTGCTTGTCTCCCCACATTCAGAAGCACTGGATTTGCACAAGAGTTTAGAATGTAACAAGCAGAGTATGGATCAACAAACCCATAACACATTTGAATCCTTCTTAGAATTTGATGAACCATTTCATTGTCCTTGGCCTTTATGCAGGCTTTAAGAAGTAAATTCCACGAGATGTCAACACCCGAAATCAGGGAACAGAGCTTAAGAGCTTGTTTATAATGCCATAGTTCTGAATAAAGATGCATGAGCATGTTGACGACAGAAACATTTGATCCATAACCAGCTCTCAGTATCTTGCAGTGTAATTCTCTTCCCTTTCTAAGATCCTGCAAAACTAGACAAGCTAGAAGAACAGAAGTGAAAGTAAATTCATTAGCTTCAATATAGTCAAACTGCATTTTTTGGAAAAGTTCCAGGGCCTCAGCATACCACTCATTCAGACAAAACCCGGAAATGAGAGCTGACCATGTAGCTGTCCCTGGGTCTTTTACTCTCATAAAAACCCTTAGAGCAGCTTCCGAAATACCACACTTGAAATACATATCAATTAGAGAGCTTATAACGTATGGATCAGAATTCAGATCGAGTTTTATAATCAAGGAATGGAACATTTTCCCTGTTTCAAGATTGGACAGTAAAGAGCACCATTTTAGCATGCTTGCGATAAAATGTCCATTAAATTTCTCTCCATTAAAATAGTTATATAACCTCATAGGAAGGTCTGCTCGTGGATTCAAGATCTCATGGTTAACACACTCAATATACATATCTAAAAGAGAACCAAACACATATTGATTAGATTCTAAACCAACTCTTATTATATGCCCGTGAACCTCTCTGCCAAGATCCAATTTGTCTACACTAGTGATTGCCTTAAGGCTACTAGTTATAGTGAAGTCATCACATTCAGAAACTTCCTCCATTAAAATTCTGAAAACCTTAAGACCTTCAAGGTAAAGCGAGTTATGAACATAACCCATAATTAATGTGTTCCAAGAAACCAAATTTCCCTCAAACATTCCATCAAAAACCCGTCTCATCCCCTTTGAATCACCACATCTTGCATAAAAATCCATTAGACTGTTCTCTAAAAACAAGTAGGTCCCAAAACCCATCTTAATCATACAGCAATGAATCTGCTTACCAAACTCCAACTCCTCCAAATTGGCACACCCTTTGATCACCATTGAGAAAACAAAACTATCCAACTCAACACCACAACAAATCATCTCAAGAAAAATCCTCAAGCCCTCTTCTTCAAGCCCGTTCTTCACATACCCACTTAACATGGAACTCCAAGCAACCAAATCAGGCTTCTCAAGTCCTTGAAAAACAGCAATAGCATCATCAAGACGCCCACAACTCGCATACATATTCACCAACGCATTATACACAAACCCATCAACCACACCCCCTCTTTTTAAAACAAGTCCATGAACTCCACACCCAAAACTCAAGTCCTTAACTCGAGAACACGCGCGCAATACAATAGAGTAAACAAAAGCATCAGGCCACACCGACCCGTGACTCAACATAAAAATAAACATCAAGAGTGTTTCATAGACGGGGCCATGTTTCGTGTACCCGGACATGAGGATTGTCCAAGAAATGATAGTTCTCTGAGAGTGAGGCATTTGATCGAATAGATTCCTTGCTTGTTGCATGGAGCCTGCGTTTACATAAAGCTGAAGATAGAGGTTGAAGTAAAAAAGAGGAGGTTGGGAAGCAGTTGAATGAGTTTGAAGGGTGAGATTTTTTGGGTTGAAATTGAGATTGGTTTTAAGATGGGGTTTGATAGAATAATGATTTAAGAGAGATAGAGAAGGAGGAGAAAAGGAGGAGATGGTGGCAGATGGTAGCAGAGATTTCATGAATATTGATTGTTATGTATTATTTATGTTTAAATTTTAGAAGTGAATATATAAGCAAGTAATGTGAGGAAAACGAAGGCAAAGGGAGAAGAGGAGGTCTGGAATGAGATGGTGGGATGAGATGAGAGTTCAATGAGGCTGTGTGACTGTGAAGTACGTAGTGTTGGTGGTGGTCCATGGCCAAGTGAAGATTGAAGACGACAAGGGCTGTGCAAAACCGGGTACCCGACCCGGTTTTGTCCGAAAACCGGGTATCCGAATATTCGGGTACCCGTAAACCGAACCGATTTTTAGGTACTGAATATTCGGGTTAAAAATCGGATATCCGGTTTATGACCCGAATTTACATGAATTTTAATTTTCTACATTTCAAATTTCAATTTATGAATACAATTCCTTCCATATATTAAATAAACTTTTAATTTAATAACTTAAATAATTAAGATTTGGAGCTTTTGTCTCTTGCTCTTTGAAACTTAAAGGAAAATAAGTTTAAAATCTAGGTTTATTTTTTATTTTTTAATAAACTAGGCACCCGATTCTCTTAAAATAAATACTTGATACTCGAACAAAAAATTTGGATATCACATAATAAATACTCAAAATTGATTCGTATTTTTAAATATCTGAAAAATCAGAATCGAATCGATTCGATTAACGTGTTCGGCTTGGTTAACGGTTTTTTATGCACACCTTTACAAGGCTTTAACATCATTTTTTCTTAACAGATTTTTTAAAAGAAAAATGTACTTAGTTTTTTATTATATTTTTTTGACATTTTTCACAACTATCAAATAATGAGTAAGAGAGTAATTCTGATCGCTTCTGGTATTATATACACCACCACCCTATCACATCACATTTAGGATATCGTTTCCCTTTTGGCTTTTGCCTTTTACGACGCGAATATATCATTTATGATCTGGATAAGTTAATCCTGATAAAAAACTTTTTTAGGAAGGTATAAATTTATCCTTTAGTAAAATAAAATTATTTTTGTTTCTAAACCTTACTTTTTGGAGGAAAAACAGTTCACCATTTTATCACTCACAGTTGCAATTGTAATCCCTTATTCCAAGTATTATAATTCAGATGCCTAACTTGTTGCTTTAATGAAGATGGACTAAACTTATACTTTATGCATTTAAGTAAAAATAATTCAAGATTAGTAAATCCTGATTAGTGTGATCTGCCTGCATAAAGAGGTAGCCAGTCAAGAAAAATCAAAGAGACCAACCTGAAAAACTAATTAAACATTGTTTTGTTATCCAAAAACAAATAATAGATAAAATCATAATTTCAGTACACCGAAGGGACATTGGAACTATGACATGTATGAAAGTTGGTCAATTGAAATGATTTTCATTACTTCTTAAGGCACAAGATAATTTAAACATACACAACCTTCCAGATGCCAACTACCACCCAAAAAAAGGACTTTCGTGATAGATTACTACAAAGCAAATCGTAAGGTCCAACACTTTATAATAGACCAGAACATTTTATACAAAATGGATTCCTGTAATCATCTGTTAGTAGAGTTCAAACCATACAAGAAAACGGAGAGAAGGAAACGTGGACAAATTAATCATAATCGATAATTGAAGAGCCTTGCTTAGTAGATACTTCGACAGTTGTTTTATTAGAAAAAAAATCCCAAAATAAGGGAGGAAAATCACATCATTATAAACCTCAATTTCAATCACCCCTAATAACACCACATGAATTCACACATAATAAGAGGAAGACTCAAGCACAGTTTATCCAACTTAATCTCTAAAATTACAAACCACCAATATACAAGAGCATCAGCAGAACAAATCCAATCAATTTTTCTTTATTCATTTTCAATTTTAGTGACAAAACCGCATAGTAGAAGTGTGGTCGGTATTGATTACAGCACTAACAAAATGTAACAATTTCCAACTTGTGGCTAATTATAATTAAATTGACATTAACTTTTGAACTTATAGTAATGCCTAGATCACAAACTATGCATTTCCGAAGAGCAAGTGTTTTTCTTGTAATGGAATATAGATTTTGTTTGAAATTGAATTTTTATCACAAATGTCTTGATAATAATTAAACTTATAATTGTTGGTACGAGTCACATGTATAATAACTCTTATCATATAATTAAATCAAAATATTGGATTTGTTCTTGGTAACAAATACAATATTTTACAACAAATCCAAAATTTTGAAAATATCTCATTGGAATTTGATTTCTGGACTTAATGATGAGAGAGAGAATAAAATGAAATCTCTTACCATTAAATCACCTTTTTACTTCTTAATTCACCAAGGGCAAATATGTCTTTTTATACATAGATCATCCTATGAAAAGTCAAATATATCCCTACTTTATCTGAATCAATTGATCCAACAAGCATTTTTGTTATCAAAAATACAATCCACAAATATGTTTTAAATAAATGAAGATTGAATTCTTAGGTGGTATTTACGTCATAGATTAGATGGGAACGGTAACGGGAACGAGGATGGGAATGGACTGAAAATGATTACATTGTTTACTTGTAACAATGAAAATTGATGGAATGGAATAAAATTTGTGGTTTTCTCGACAACAATATTCTTAAGTCTAAATTATTACTTATGTTATTTTTTTTTTAATGTACTTATGTTATTTTATCACACAATTAAATCCATTAAATATTAATAAAACAAAAATAACTCCACAATTTAAATAAATAATTGAAACAATCAACCATTGGTCGACACCTTTGGGTGTCATTGCTGGCACATGTAGCGACCGTTGTCTAGTGATCTGGATAGATTTTGGCTATCGAAGATTGTTGGAGTGATATCATGTGCAACAACTTATTTTTATCGTCACATGTAACATTGTCACCTTTGACTTATTTGTAAGGAATCCAGAAGGAGAGCAGCAAAGAAAAGCAATTCAAGACAATGATATTGTCAGAGTATGCCAAAGAGAAAAGAAAAGAAGAGAGAATAATTTATCTATATATTTTTAGTGTATTGTAAGCCTGTACAGTGGTTAATTTATACAATTTCTGTAAATGTAAAATAGGAAAACAATAAATACAAATCCCTAGAATTGTTCAATCAATCACATGAATTAAGGTGATTAATTAAAGTCTTAATCACTCCTTAATCTCAGCTAGCATAGATCAAGGGAAATTAATAATAATAAAGATGCATTCCATATTTTGTCACTCCCCCTCAAGCTTGTGGTTTGCAGATATCAAAAACTCCAAGCTTGCTAAGTAGATATGAATGTTGTCTACTGCATAATGACCTTGTGAAGATGTCTGCTAGTTGTTCTGAAGTATGAATGTGCAAAGTTTTAATTACCCCTTCTTGTAGTTTGCTCCTGACAAAGTGGTAATCAATTTCTATATGTTTCTTCTTTCATGGAATACTGGATTTGCTGCTATGTCATTTGTAGCCTTGTTGTCACAGTATAAAAGAATAGGTTTACTTGCTTGTACTTCTAAATCTTTCAATAACCCCAAAATCTAGACGATCTCACTTATCGTCTTTGCCATGGCTTTTATTCAACTTCTACTCAAGAAAGAGATATTGCTGATTGTTTCTTTGTTTTCCAAGAAATAAGAGCTCCCCCTAGCTTGATGCAGAATACTGTAAGTGATTTTCTTGTCATTGGACATGTGGCCCAGTCTATGTCATAGTGAGCTATGATATGTAAACCTTTGTCTCGAGGAAAGAGGAGACCTAAGCCAAGACATCCTTTTAAGTATTTTAGAACCTTTATCACTGCATTCATGTGAGATTTTTTAGGTCCATGCATGAACTGACTAAGGATATGGACTGCATAACTGATGTCTGGACGAGTCATGGCAAGGTAGATCAATCACCCAACAAGTCTTTGCAAGTTTATTGGATCTTCCAGAGGTGGATCATCTTCAGTAGACGATAACCCATCGTCATATTCCTGAGTAGTCAAATTGGTGTTTTGTTTTATTGGAATAATACTTGGCATGCATCTTGATAGCTCAGAATAAAAAATGAGTTCCAAGACATATTTCTGTTGGTTGAGAGATATTCCTGCAGGGGATCTAGCAATTTTGATTCCTAGGAAATATTCTGGTTCTCCTAGATCTTTTATTCGGAATTGTCTGTTGAGATGCTCTTTCAAGGATTTTATGCCTACTTCATCATTTCCTATAATAAGAATGTCATCGACATAGATGATTAGAGCAATAAAAGTTTTATCTTTGTGCCAGGTAAATAATGCATAGTCATGTTTGGACTGAAAAAATCCTATGCTAGTGAGAGCTTTACTAAATTTCTCATTCCATTGTTGGGATGCTTGTTTGAGTCCATAGAGGAATTTTTGCAAACAACATATTATGTTCTCCCTCTGTCTGCAAATGCCAAGAGGAAGATCCATATAAATTTCCTCATGAAGATCACTATGAAGGAAGCCATTATGAACATCCATTTGAAGGAAAGGCCAGTCAAGGACAGAAGCCACTATAAGGAAAGCACAAATAGTGACATGTTTGGCTACTGGTGAGAAAGTCTCCTGATAATCGAATCCCTTACACTGAGTGAATCCTTTGGCTACCAATCAAGGTTTGTAACATTCAATTAAGTCATCAACACGGTGTTTAATTTTGTAGACCCATTTACAACCAATGGGTTTTCTATGAGAGGGACGATTGCTTGACTCCAATGAGTTCATCAACAATTGCTTGATGACAGGAGTAAGTTCATCAACAATTGCTTGATGCCAATGAGAGTGTTGAACAACATCTGAGTAACTAGTGGGTTCTCGATCGGCGGAGATGTGATTGATACAAGCTTAGTGCACCAGAGAGAGATGATCATAACTCACATAATTGGAGGTAGGATACAGTGTACTTGAGGAATCTGAAATTGTGGGACACTCATAGTATGCTGTCTAGATTGGTGGCCAAGTCAGCTACTACAGCGTGTAGGAACAGTTGGAACTAGAACAGTGGATCCTGGTGTCGAAACAGTTAGAACAGGGGATCCTGGTGGGGAAACAACAGTAGGCATCTGAATAGGTGATTCTGCTGAAGGATCATCAGTGGCTGCTGTGTCAGATTCAGAGGT